TTTTTTTTTTTTTTTGTAATAAATTTATTTATTTATTTTTCTTTTTTTTTATTTTCAGAACTACTCTGAAATCTGATCGTTGAACATTCGGGGCGTCAAAAGTTAACATTCGATGTTATCACCATCTAATATTCTTTTTTATACAATGTTCACCGTTAATGTGTTCTTATTTTAGACGAAAATACAGAGAGAAAGGGAAGGGAAGTGAGTCCCTGAACCATGTTCACTGCTAATCAGTTATGATAAGGAAAATTTACCAATAAGCCTTAACATTGATATAAGCAGCCAACGTCCTCCTTTTTTTAACGATAAGATTTACTTTTTAGAGATGATTATTCATATTTTTGATTGCAGTTTGGTCAAGGTCAACACAGTTCAACTGTACAGTCTTAGAGAAGATTTGTTCTATCATAAAGTTGCTTTACTATATCTAAAAAGAAAAAACTGAATAATCAGATCATATCAACAGCATATCAGCAACAGCAACATAACAATAATGGCGTTTATCATAAACCATATATGGAAAATAGAATTTTTTAGTGCAACAGTGCTCCGATAAGTGAAGTCAGCAAATACACGACTCCCCTCTGATAATAACGCTATTATACAGCAATCATACATAAAATAAAGCAATTATATAAGCCCAAATACAGATATTTGTCAAAGGGAATTGAAAAAAATGAGCAGGCAATAAGCAAATTGAACGGATTTAGTTCACAATACAGTTTTTTTTGGCCTGAGAATAGCTGTTCTGCTTCTGTGACCTGACTGTATTCTTGATATTGGCTACGACTTCTGAGAATGGCCCTGTTAATTCTGCTGCATTGTGGCTGTATTTTAGTCTACATTTCTTCAAAATTGGTTAGTTTTATCAATCAACAAATTATCTCTTTGTTGTTGCTTTTTTTTTTTCTCCATTATTTTAGACATGAAATGAATAACCTGAAATTTTTCTAACAAGTACATCAAAAAATGAATGTATTGTACAGATTTTTTTTACTGTTACTCATTGGTGATGGATTTAAAATTGTGCATTTCTTGTTAGCAGTTTAAAAAAAAAATTTTTTTGAAATAATGTAGCAAAAATAAAAATTTGGTAGGTACTTTAAAATTTTTTTGTCAAATCTTTATTGGCACAAAAATAAAAACTGAAAATAGTTTTTTTGAACACTTACAATAGCAACAGTTCCAATAACGTTGGACATTTCTGTGCTAAGTTTTTTTGTCTCATCCAAAAAAAACCCTAACAGTTTATATGTAAAACAGGTTAAGTTTTTGGTCAATTTTTTCCCTGTAAATTTTTCATTTAGCAGTTCAATATTTTTGATATTAGTATTACTAAAACTGTATCTATGTTTCTTGAATAGGCTTTCTTCCACTACAGGAGATTTTGACGAGTATTCAGTTCTAGTTCAGTTGTTTGTTTGTCAATGGATCTGATATCTATGAAGGATGTCGATATGCTACGAGAAGTTTGTGCTTGTATCGTTTATGATTCACTTGTTGCTAAAAGTGTGTAGAACAAGGTTCCTTCTTTCTGGATTTTATTTTGAAAAATACAACAGAATCAATAATTTATACTGCCACCGTGATGGTGACATTAATATCGACATTATTAGGTACTGGTATGAACAAACAATTTTGTAGTTTTGAAAAGAAAAGAGAAGAAAACAACTTGTTGACGAAAAATGTTGATGAGTTTTTCATTATGCAAAATTTAAAACAAGTCAAATCAGCGAGACTGATTTGATCAAAGCGAATGAAGAAAAGTGAGATTTCTGATAGGAATTAAATGTTATATTAAACAAAAATCCCTGAGTGCTGCATGTAGAAGTTACTTGCAACTTGTGAGTCCAACAGATCGTACCAAATGTTTACGGTTTCCTCGTCAAAATCTTGTTTGATATCACTGAAACAGTTGTACGAATAAACTATTAACTTGAAGAGAGCAATTTGGTATAATACGCCAAAGGCTTATCAGTGCAAAATTTTACCAATTTGCTCAATTTTTGTCACTCATCCTTCCGTGATTGTACAAGGAATTTTTTGAAGTTATTTTTTGCTTCATTTTTTTATAAAAGTATCACCGTAAACGGAAAAGCTAAGAAGATGAAAACTAACATAATTTTGCCATTCTTCTTTTTTTTTCTTTTTGCTAGCTGAAATTCTGGTCTTGAAGTTGCATAAACAATAAATGCTTCATCATGTGTGATATCGTAACGGAGAGCTCGATCTTTGAAAAATGCTAGATGATTACGATTACCAGTCGCAACTTCCATCACCTGAATAACGTTGTTACACATGGTGTATCCTTTCTTTAGTCAAGACCTATAGTTTCGTAAAAAAAAAAATAGGGAAAGAAAGATATTTGTCTGCTTCAAATAGAAATTAGTTTTTACGAATTTGTCATCCTCTATGACAGTGGAGATTTGGAAGAATGTTACTTATTAATAATAACAATATAACAGTTAAGAAACAATTGAAAATTCAAAGTTGATTTCTTCAAAGTTAGCGATGTTGACGGGTTCAGTAACCTGATCAGTTGTCGTGCAGAATTTCTTAGCACACATTTCGATTGCCGTTTGACTATCGGCGCTTAAATCTTGGTAATAAATGTCGACAATGGGCGGTATCTCATATCGACTTAATACTGCCACACGGATTCTAATCTAAGGTTTCTATCGGTTATAATTGACCCTTTTTTTGCAGCTTTTCTGCTTGTTATCTGAAGTTTAAGAGTGGCAAAAAAGTAACGAAAGAATTTTTTTTGTCAGATAAACAATCAAAGAATACCGGTATTGAAACAAAACTGAAGGTACGTTCTCGTGTTTGATGAGGAACTTCAGCAACATCTTCTTCTGGAAACAGCGTATATACTTCATCAACCATTTCGGTAGAAAGATTCAAAAATCTCGGATTATTTATTATTTTGCCTAAATGACTGTTATGTTTACTAAATTACCAGTGGATAATTAATGCTCATTTTTCATTCATATATGCTTTTTATAATTGGGCAGTTTGATGGCATGTTGTCTATAGTTATAAAATGTCTAACGCATGGAATGTTTGATTATTGCAGAGAACAAGAAGACTGATTAGTTTCTGAAACCTATATTTGGTGCCATCAGTTGCGATTTTCTAAGGCTATCATTACCTCTGAAAGGAAGTATCTTTTTGACGTCGCTAAGCGACTTTTTTCGAATTTTATTAGCAAATTCGCGTAAAAACAGTTCCATAATTTTTTGCACATCACGCATCGTTACATCCCTTGTCGATCGTCCCCAATAGCTGAAAGGTTTTAAATCTGTCGCTAAAACATTACCGTCCCCAATTATGGGATATTAAAAATGAGTAGTTTTATCTATTATTCTTTGAGAATACCAGTGATTTCTTCCAAAATTTGTTTTTGTTTTCAGTCTTTTATCAGCAAAAACAGCAAAGATAATTTAGTTTTTAAAAAATGTGGCAGCCGAGGAGAAGATGAAAATTTTGCAGAATTTCTGCTTCTAAAGCGTGAAATATTTGAGATTTATTCTTAGGCTGTTTTTATTTTCCCAAGCATATTTACCTTTTTTCATTACGTAACAAAATTTCTTTCAGTCGGAAACGAAATCTGCCAAATCCCATTCCATAGTACAACATATCGTTACGTTTGTAACAGGTAAATTTCATGACATGCATCCATCCATACATATCTTTGTTATACTTAAATTATTTTAGTGTTAAATTTGGTTGCTGCACCAATTTTGTTTTGGTTAATTTTAGTTTATACTGTTAATTTTTAAAAAAATAAAATAGCAAATAAAAATTTTGTTAATAAGAACTGAGGAGCAAGTAATACAATAAGAAAGTATTCTTACAACAAATTCTTGTTCGCTAACTGTTCCGTAATGATAGTGCATACATCGTGCCAATTCCTCTTTGATTCGTTCGCATGATAACCACGGTTTTGTTCCAAGTGCTTCCAGTTCTTCAGTTACATTTTTTTCCACATATTGTCGTAATTTTGCAAACTGAACTCTGTGAAAAAAAAAATGGAAAATTATTGTTAAAATTAGATATTCTTACTGGGAAACCAATTGTAATAAAAAAAGTAATAATGATGACTTTACCGATACAGTTTTGTGCAGAACAAAGTAGTATATAATAATTTTAGTGTAACTAATACTGAACAGAAAAAGCAGAAATGTAACATTTACTCTCCAAATTTCCAGAATGTATCATTGGTAATATCCTTGAATGGTATAACTAAATTACCAACAGTTAGTGGTGCTGCTAAAAATTCATCGTAGTCGAACTCACTTTTCAAAAATTGCTCTGCAAATTTGGGACACTTTTATACAGCTACAAAATTTGGTTTTATTTATTATTTCTTATTCAACTGTTCACAATTTGTTACTGGTTAACCAAAAATCAACAGTTATTCTAAAGAAAAGAAAAAAATGTATTTGTTGATTTAAAATAAAAATAATTGGAAAATTTCTTTAAATATTAAAAGATACCAAAACTCGTATCATCCTCTTCATCCGGTTCAAAAATCTCCTCAGTTTCCTCAACAGTTGTGGTAGTTATTGGTGATTCAGTATTTTGTAATTTGGTACTTGTTTCTTCGCTTATATACTCAGCAGTTATCGACTGTACACGGTGAGTATTTTGCAGAAGAATAAAAGGAAGCAGTACCGTCCAGAAATTTAGAATCATGGAATTCTTTGAATGATTGCTGCTGCATCGTTTCTATCAGTATTTATGTAGATTGACCAAAGCCATAATAGTTTTTTGAGAGAATATATTTTGGTCAAATCTTTTTTTTCTTTCACCTCTTAATATTGTTTACTTTTGCATTTAATTTCAAATGTTTCTTTTTTAATTTGCAACAACGGCAACAATAAAACAAACTATAAATTGAAAATGAAAGCTTAATGTGTTTTTTAAGTTTCTTATAATTCATTAAATATCTGACAGATGTCTGTCTCTGGATAAGGAGGGTGAGTACTGTACAAAAAAATTGCAAAAAAATTGAAAACTTCTAATATTTTTAATATTATTGGGAAAAAAAAGGAAGCCAATATATGATTAAAGATTATTTCAGGTTGCTCCTTTAGGAAATCAAAGCATCTATCACCCGGCATCAGATGACAACTACTTTAAGAAGGCTGATGGACAGATTAGGTTTCCTTTTTCCTCTTTTTTTTCTTTTTCATCTTTCCTCTTCTCTTCTATTCCTTCTCTATCGTCTTCATTCACGACTGGAACTGTTTTCAACAACATCTGATGATCACTTTAAAGGCCTATTAACTGTGAACTGTCAATATTCTACTCACAAATACAGTTTTCGCTTGGTTGGTTTACTGAAACAATGAAAAGTAGTCGATTGTTTAAAAGTTTAGTGCCTTGTAAAAGAGATTCTTCAGACTTTTTTTTTCTTTTTTTTTACCACTAGTTATCCTCTCTGTAAACCCAGTCATTCATTCAGATGCTATAACCATTTATTTACTATTTATTGACACCGGCTTTTGCCGAACGATAACGTATCCCAAAGAATGTTTTTTCGTCAGAGTCTTTCTTGTGTTACTTTAATAGGTTAAATAAAAAAAAAAAATGCAAAAGAAGTGCATATTTGCTGTATCAATAAATTTTTTATTGCTTACAGTTTGTGAATACTTTTTAAATGATCGATTCAAATAATTTGATAAAAAAACAAACAAAGGAGGAAAAAAAACTGTTTTGCTATTTGAAAGATTTGTTCGCCCTGAAAACAAATCGATTTATTTATGCAAATTTTAAAACTGCTTTTTTTTTCTTAGTTTTTTGAAAAATATACAGCAGCTATAAGTATTTTAAAAATTTACTTTTGCATTCTTTTGTTTTTTTTTTTATCTTGAACAATAATTTTTGATTGTGCATTTGCATTTTGCGCAGTTTTTGTTTTGTAGAATAAAACAGTAGTCCATTTTTTATTGACAGTTACAAAAATTGTTGACAATAGTTTGCAAAAAAAACAGTCTTTTTTCATATATCAAATGAATGTAATAAGTTCATTTGTAGTGCTCAACTTTTTTACTCATAATTCTTCTTCGACGAAGACAGTTTGAATACTGCAACAATGTGAAAAAAGAATTACTGTTTCTGAAAACGTCTTAACAATAAAAGGCAACAATGGTTACGGCAGGTTTGATACTCTTTTTTTTTTTTTTTTTTGCCATATATTTACATCGATCAGCTAATCTTTGTTCTGTGTAAAACAGTTAGAAATAATTTCTTCATCACTCAATTTATTATCTGCAGTTACAGTTTTATTGAATGAAAAATTCAATATCAAAAGTAAACATTGAGAATTTGTAGTAACATATCGTATTGTAACTGAATCATAGCAGTAGCAACGATGACAACCATAATAATAGTAGTAAACAAAGACAGTAATAATAACAGCGAAAAAAAAACCACTAGCACTATGAAACCATTTTTTTTGAATCAACTATTCATAATCGATGACTTATAATGACAAAGACGATATAAATTTTTTCTATTATACAATTGCTGAAGAAAGTTTAAAAAAAAAACTGAAAAAGAATGAAAGGAAAATTGGCAGACAAAAAAAGAAGCGACAATATGTTGAAAAAAAAAAATGCCGGCAAAATAAACGGAACTGGAAATCTATTTTAATAATAGATTTCAATTCACCGCCAGATGTTGCCCGGATACCCGATGATTTAAAGTTGTTGTTGATAAGCAAGAATAACAAAAAAAAAAA